TTTATATTTTATATTTTATATTTTATATTTTATATTTTATATTTTATATTTATATTTTATATTTATATTTTATATTTTATATTTTATATTTCAAATTATATATTTTATACCTTATACTTTATATTTGATATTGCTACATTATTTCGGATGTGGTTTTAATTGCCATAATTAGTCAAAACGAAGATACGAAGCCTCCGTAGTTGCTTAAGTTTCATTCAATCTACTTCCTGGCACAAACAATCGACGAAGAGTAGAAGCAGTAAGGGCGAAGTCGAAAAATGACTACATATATGTAACACTCTAATTCTCTTCCTCTCTAGCGGCTCTGTTGCTATCTCACTTGGACTATCTCTCTCTGTCTTGCTTGGAATTGCAAAAATCTTGTCAGCAAACATTACTCGCTGCCTGTCGCTAGCGCTGCCTTTGCTGTTGCCCCAAAGCTACTAACTTGAAATTGCTTTCGGCAAATATATTAGCCTCTTGATAATTTTCAACAATAAATTCTTTGGCACACACAATCACACACATGCTGCGGTGCGCGGGGAAATGGGGAGTTTGGCAGCCACTCAAAGTAGCTAAGGCTAGCTGCATGACTGCATAGGGACCTCCAATGGATTGTGCAGCGCTCCAGAAAGTACAACAAAAGTCGCTCATGTTGCAAGCTGTCAGTGCAACACTTGTCGCATGTCATTGCCGCAGTTGCACTCGCAATGGACACATGCGGGGCGGTGCGGTGCCGTGCGCGGCGAAGGCATTCGCAGCGAGTGTGTTTGTTGCACAGTTTGCTGAAGACAGCGCACAAGACGAAAGTCAGCGAACAGCAGCAGCTGAAATGCAATTGCAAATGCTGTTTGCAACATGAGCAAGCAGTGGAGGGGGGAGGGGAAGTTGGGCTTCAGTCGGTCGGTAATGATAAAATATATTTGTTAAATCAAGAGCAGTCTAAGCTAAAGAAATTCAAATGCTCTACATAACAGAGAATTCCATAAAGGTATCAATTTTATATATATTTAATTTGTTGTATGTGAAAATGGTAAATATGTAAATTTAAAAATATATTGTATAATCTTATTTTTAATAATGGATTATTTGAATGATTTTACTATTATATTTTATTAAATAGCCGTGCACTAATAACCTATTTGGGCCTTCGGTTTTTTTATTACTTATTATTTATTTTATTAGTTATTTAAGTTTATTTAAATTACTTTTTTTTGTAATATCGAATGCATTATTTATTTTTTATATAATTCATTATTTTTAATTGTTATTAAATATTTTATATTTGATTATCAGCCTTTGTCCTAACCAGCGTTTCTCCTGCATTAATTAATTCAATTAGTCCCGACTTCGTATATGGAAAAGCCCGAGTTTTGTGAACCGCATTTATCGAACTGTAAATTGAACAGCTGCAAATTTCTGCTGTATTTCGGAAGACCTCTTAATAATCATCTTAATTCGCTGCTGCTGCCACGAGAAGAGCATTTTAATTGTGGCGCAGCTGTGGCTGTCGGCTGGCTCTGCCAGTGTCTCACATTGTTGCCGCATCATTGTTGTAATTGCAGCCGCCGTGGTTCAGCTGCCCCACTTCCACCCCCACTCCCAGTCCACTCTCTGATCTGCAAAGCATGTGCTCCGCTCATGTCTTCGCTTTCACATGGCTGGCTTTTGTTTTAACACAACTAATACAATTGCACCGTGGGGAAATGTTGCCTCTGCTCCTTCGTCGTGCTGCTGCTGCTGCTGTTGCAACGTCAGCGGCGTTGATTTTATTTGCCAGCGAGCGATGCTGGAAAGTGGAGCCTCGTCTCGGCATTCCCGCATAGAGCGAGAGAGAGAGAGAGAGAGAGAGAGAGAGGGCTCCGACATTGTTACTAACTTAATAAAGTTGTCAAAGGTACAAAGTAAGCGGCGTGTTAGCAACTTGCCACGCCCACTGCAACAGCCGCTGACGTTGCATTGTTGCTTGATTTTCATTTGGGGATTTGCCGCCTTCAGTCTGAGTGATTAATTTCTTGGCTTGATGTGATTTACTTACAACTGCAGTCGCTGCCGCATCTGCCTTTGCCGCTGAGCACCACCGAGCACCACCAACGAGCAGCGCAAAGCGAATCACTCTATTAATGTCATGCATTAAGTTTTGCCCTGCGTCTTCTAATTGACTAATGGAGGCTTAGGGCGGCTTTTGACAGCCAGACCCTTTGAGATTTATGTGCTTCTAGCCGCTGTTGGGATACATAAAAAGCGCCAGCTCCCGCAACCAGACAAAGTCTGTTGACCTTAAACCTGAGCCATGACAACAGCAACGACAGCAACAACAATAATAGCTGCGGCTATAAATAAGTTTCAGCCTGCCAAGCGCCACAAAGTATGCAACAATGGCCAACGACCAAAGATGCAACCATAAAAACAACGCATCTGAGAATTGTAGGGTATATCTGGCTATACGACAGCTGTAGAATAAATAAAATAAATTAAAAACATATATGTTCCAGAGGACACATGTCATTCGAGAATTTATTGGTCTAGACAAACTCTGATCCTCCACTTTTATTTATTTATTATTTTGTCAGATTAAAATTGTTAAATAATTAAAATAAATTCAAGATTTATTTGTAGTTTTTATATTTTTTGTTAATATTTTAATATTTGATAATATAAAAATATACATATATATTTCTATATTATTTTGCATTTTATTTTTATTTTCTCAAAGATATTTGTATTCTCGAAGAACATATTATGTATATATATATATATATATCTATATCATTTTTTATTTAGTATTATTTTTTATTTTATTTTGTCATAAGTATTTTACTATTTTTGTTTTTTTATTTGTTTATTATTTATTTATTTTTATTTTTTATTTTTATTTTATTTAATTTTTTTTTTCTTTTTGAAAATCGAAGACCAAGTATTATATATATTTACATATTTTTATTTAATTATTTGGCTGTTTATAAATTATTTATTTATATACATAGGTATTTATGAGCAATTCATACAACTTACAAAATTAAATCACACGCTTGATTTCAACTGAAATTTACTGTAAATCTGCAGAGTATTTTGAACTCAAGCAGAGTATAACATTTTGTCATAGCTGTCGCGTCGCATGAGTGCTGGTTGCCCAGATGAAACCTAAAACCGCAAGCTTTATGTCTGGCCGTTGTCGCCTTGGAGCATATTGCGCAATAAAAGCTAGCAAATTGCGCGTAGACAAAAGCTTAGCCCAGCCTGGTGTTTAAAGGCCGCGCTGCAGTTGGGGTCGTGGGGCAGTTGCAGCACGACGTGTGCACAAATAGTGCGACAAATTTTTACGGCAAATAAAACCAAGCGCAATCGATAGATGCGAAATGTCACAGAGATTGCAAAGTCGTCGGATTTTTCCTGTTTTTTTTTTTTTACCTTTTTCTTTTTTTTTCGATAGCACAAACAAGTGCAGCAATCAGGGACAGTAGACAGCAGAGGGAGGGGTAGAGGAGAGCGAGCAAAGACGTGCCTGTCACATTTGGTGTGTGCAATACGCCAAATGGCAGCTGTTGACAGCCAATTTGGTGGATTTTTTTGTATCCAGCGATGGCATTTCTTAACTTACGCGCATTGACGCCGCACAATATTGAATTTAATTTTCGTATAGGATAAACAGCAGACAGCGAACGCAACAACAGCGGCGGCAGCGATGCGAACTGCTAGTCAACACATTGGCAGCAACAATGTTTGCATGCGCCGCCCACAAGTATGCAACGCTTTTTGCCAAAACCAACGCACACACACAAAGGCATACAACGCATGCAGACACTTACACCTGGGCCAGGTGCTGGCTGGAAGCGTCAGTTAACTGCCAAGCCAAGCCAAGCCGCAGACCAACAGCCGAGGCACGTACACAAAGTGCTGCTGTTGTTGTTGCTCTTGTTGTTGTTAGTATTGCAGTTGTTGTTGCTGTTCTTGTTGTTGTGTTAGTTTCAACTATTATTTGCCCATCAACAACTTGGCCTGCCCACTCGTTGTTGCAATTTACACTACACAAGAGCAGCACGAGCAACAACACAAACAACAACAGCAAGAACCACAGTACAAACAATACGGAACAACGGCAACTGTAAAATAAACAAGCTGAGTAAAGTAAGTACAGCAAGTCGAGCACCGCACAGATGTTTTGTTGTTTATGTACAAATAAATATATATATATAGAGAGAGCTTGCTTCAAGTTCTGCATAATGACTTTCTGATGAAGTTATTATGATAAATAAAAACTATATTGTTGAGATCACAAACAGGCAAGACAACTTGTTTTCAGTTTAATCAATTTCAATTAAAATGAAATAATTATCAATCGCTGGCCAATGCTCTGCCCATATTTCATTTCATGCTGCTGTGACAGTTTTCATAATTCGATTCGATATTTGCATTAAATTCAATATAGCGTTCAATAAAAAACTTTACTTAATGAAATATATTAAATTTGTTCAATGAAGTCCTTTTGATAAAATTCTGCAATAAAATTTGGCATCGTTTGCCATAATTCCTTTGAGCTCCAACGTTGCATACACTTTTTCTGCAACTCTCTGTTTTTTTATTTTTCTTTTCTTTTCGTGTTTTTTTTTTTTTTTTCTGCGTGAAGTTTAATAAATTTCAACGTGTGCGTGATGCATACTATCATCCACACAGTTTTTGCCGGGCTGGCTCGGAAAATGCTCTCGACTGCGGCCGCTGGCAGGCAAAGCGGTTATAATTGCATTACGCCGAAAGGTAGACTAGCTTTTTGCCCCTCCACGTCGACTGTTTGCGCTTGCAATTACAACTCAATAACTTTTGCCGGCTGGTTGTTAACTTTTGCGCCATGTTTGTTAATTTTGTTGCAGTTTTTGGCTCTTTGCCGCTGCCCCGACTCCTGCTACTCCTGCTGCCAACCGCCAGCTGTTTACTCTCTCTCTCTCTTCCATTTTTTCTTTCAATTTAACTCGTTAGTTAAAGCACGCGCAGCAGCCAAAAAAAAGTGTTTGTAATTTGCATTTGTATAATATTTTGCTGCAGCTCGTGGGCGTTGCCACAGCGCACAAAATTGTAATTAGAAGTCGGCCACACAGTGCAAAAAACAGAAGCCCTCACGACTTAGTCGTGGGCTCGTTAGGGCAGCAGAGAGCAGCAGAGGGCAGCAGGTCCCCTGACAGATGAACTCTTAAAATGCTTTTGACATCAGAAACTATCAAATAATAACGATTATCCTATTTGCATAATGCGGCATTTAAACGACAAATAAGCAGAAGCACAAAAGCCAGACACAGAATGGAAATGAGAGTAGCTGAGAGACAGACAGAGATAGTGCCAGAGAAATAGAGAGGGGGAGAGACGAGAAGAACTGACACTTGAGACGTCTGACAGGAAGATAGAAGCCAGCCTCCGATGGGTATGAAAGAGATAGAGAGAGAGAGGAAGAAAGGGAGAGCGGCCAGCGAGGACAAAGGACAAACGCAGTGCAGGCGGCAATAAAAAGCAACTAAGAATATTGCTGCTTAAATTATGCAGCGAAACTATGAAACACCCTGTATTCCACTAAGAAAATACAAATACATTAAAAATAGAGAAAACTAAATTTAAATGCTGATTCATGACTTGTGCAAGTAAAAATAATTATAGAAACAAAATAAACAAAAAACAAAACTAAATTCGTAGTTCTTTTTTAATCGAATTTTTGATTTAGGTAAACAGTTGATTTATTTATTTATTTTTTGTTTAATTGTTTTGATTTATAATTTTGTTTACATTTGATTCACATAATTATCTTCTTCAAAAAATTTATTTCTTTTTAAATGTCACATATGTTTTAGACCAGAATTCATTTATTAATTTATTTTTGTTTATTTTTTGTTATTTTAAATTTAATTTATATACATTTGTATATAATATTAGTTATGTAACCAATTCTTTACTCATGTTTATCTCGTCTTGTATGTTTTTATTTTAATTTCAATAATAGGAACAATAGGAATTTTTTGCCACAAAGAGAACTTAAGCCATCAGCTAAAATACCCACTACCTAATTCCACTATCTGGTGGGTAGAAATATTAAAATGCGAATGCTGCGAGACAGCTTAAAGGACCCAAAGGAAGCGCTAGTAGCTAACGGGCCGCACAAGAATGCAATTAAAGTCAAAAACTGCAAACAAGTTGGCAGCTCCGACAGCTGCATTTAGAGTCGGCTGACACTGGGGAGACGGTGTGGTAGGGCGGCAATTGTTGTCACTTACCTGGCCATTCTTGTACCACATGCTGGAGGATATGTCCAGGTCGACCTCGCACATTAGCCTAATCTCCGAGTGCTGCTCGGCATAGACCACCGACATCTCCTCGTCCTCGTAGGGATTGGGCAGCACCGGGCGCAGGGGCAACGCCCGCGGACCCTCCAGCGGGCCCTCGTCGTCCATCAGGTCCGCCTCGCGACTCTTGGCAAACAGATCGCGCGTGGCGGTGCCACTGTCGAACTCCTCCACATCATCGATAATGATGACGGGCTCCTTGGGCTTGGGCTTCAGATCTTCCGGCGCCAGATGCACCGTCGACCGAGCGCGTTTCGCCTTCATCGTAGTCAACAGCCCGGAGAGCGTTCGGTTTGCGTACGTCGTGGCGGTGGCACTCGTCGCCATTGTGGTGGCACTGGACATGACCGCGGGCAGCTCCAGCTCCTCCTCCTCCGTCTCGCGGCGCAATCGCGGCTTGGCCTCCTTGTGCGGGGCTGCCCGATGCGCCTGGTGCACGCGATGGCTCTTCAGCTGCGCCTTCCACTTGGCCACCTTTGCCTTGGCGCAGTTCTTGGCACACTTGGAGGGCGCACTGCTATGACCCACCACCGGCTTATGGTCAGCTGCCAGCTGGCGCATTCTCTGTGCGTCCGCCGCAAGCTCGAGCGAACTCTGCACCAGCTGCGGCCTCTGCTCTGATATGCTGCGCCATTTGCTGGCTGCGTGCTCGGCGGGTGTCGTCCTCAACAACGACTTGGCATTGATATTTTGTTGCAGTGTATAGGTGGTGCCTGCAAGAATAAAAGTCAGTGGAATGTATGAGAAATAATTCTAATAAAATCGAATTATATGTAGGATATAAATCTTTAATATATAATATTATCAATATACGTATGTTCTTTTTCCATATTTACAGACATATTTCCGTTTCCTGCTCGACTTCTGCAGCCCACTTTCTCTTATTTAATATCGAATCTTCAGAGTAGCCTCTTCTATGTTACTCTCAAGCAACAACGCACACTGCTATTTTGACGAGAGGCTTACAAGCTATCTCATTCTCTCTCTAAGTAGCCTTGGATTACGTTTAGCAAGAACTATATTTGTCTCCCTCTCGTGAAGGTCTAATTTGAGTATACTATGAAATGTGCTGTCAGCTTTGTTTTGCAACACTATTCTGTTAATTAGATGCTATGTTGCTGTTAGACAAAAGACTGTTATTTTGCAATATCAAATCACATTAAATATCATTATTATTATTTTTTTTTTTTTCAATTTTTTTGTTATTTAATTTTTTTTTCTTGCCTATTATAATTACTATTAAAATGAGTTATTATTATTATTTCATTTTAATTATTATTTAGCTGAAATTATTACAACTATCAACTACTCCCAATCACTACATGTAATTGACTCAAAATCTAAACTGGCCCAATCTTTAAAAATCCATACTCCAGTTGAATAGAAAATGAAGTAATTAGTTAATGATCTCCTTCTGCTACAAAAAAAAAAATCAATAACAGTGTGAAATGCCTCAGTTTCCTTTCTCAATCTATGGACTCGCATAGCTGTCAATCAGTGACCCAAATGCGAACGCATGAACAATTCAATTTACACGTCCCTAACAGCTGCCTGGCAACAGTGCCTGCTGGGACAATGGGACAGAGGAGGTCGCCCGGCATACCTGACCGAAAGTGATGCAAAAATGCCAATGGCAATACTTTGGGAATGGGAGTATCAATTACATTGCACTGTAACGTGTAAATATCGCATAGCACATGCGCTTACAAGGCTCATGCATTTATTTATGATATTTGACAGTGGCCCACCCCCCTACCAACGAAAAATGTGGGCTGGGCCGAGCTGCATCCGAGCTGGGCAGATTGAGACTGCTGGCTAGAGAAATGTGTATGCAAATCCTTTGCTAATCCTTTGCCATGCAAAGCAATTTTCAAGCCTAACTTTTGTTTGGCTGCCAGCCTCCCCCCACAATGAACTAGACAACGTAGTCCAATGTACTCAAACTCTGAGACTGTTGTCACTTTGGCAACTCTGGTTATTGTCTGTCTTCTGTTGCTGCTGCTGCTTCTACTGCTGCTGCAGCTTCTGCTGTTGTTGATAAATTTACACAAGTGTATGACAAGCTTTCAAATGGTAATTAATATTCATCTGAGACGGGGGCCATCAAAAGGCAACGCGCTACGCAACTCGTTCCCAGTCACACGCTCTCTGCTGTCTTCTCTGTCTGGTAACCATTTGTCCCCACACACACACACACACACACACACACACACACACACACAGACACATGGAGAGTCAGCTAGGCGCAATGGCTGACTGTGTGGTTAGCTGACAAAAGCAGTGGCAACTCCTGCTGGTTGCAACCCTATTCTGTTTTGGGCTCCACGGCCATTGTCATTGTCTTTTGTCTCGGCCCTTTTCTGGTTTGGGGGCGGTGCGGTGTGTTTTTCCTGTTGCTGTCGGTGTTTGTAGCTAAATTAAAGTTGTCATTTTTCAAGTGAACGCACAAAAGTATGCAATGCGCCTAATAAATTTGCACTCAGCAACTATGGCAACCCTGGCAATGCGCTCTCTCGCATATCCGGGCTAAGGCACTCATAGGCATAACTTAACAGTACGACCAAGTCATTTGCACAGCAGGCGGTAGGCGTGTACTTGTATGTGTGTGTGTGTGTGTGTGTGTGTGTAACGACTTACAGCCACACACACACACGCACAGCGAACACTCACCCAATTCAGAGAGGACAGGCTGCGTTAAAATGTTTTCACAACAGCTTAAAAGTCTGCTACACTTTTTGCATAGGCAGCCAGCCAAGTGCTATGTCTGTCCATGTCCACGTGTGTGTGTGTGTGTGCATGTGTGTTTGTCTTGTTTGTTTACATGCAGTCGTAGTTGTTGTTTGTGCTGTAACTTAAGTTGTAAATGAAGATTGCGCCGGAAATTGCACAAAACTGACAGCGTCTTCGCTGTGCGAGAGTCTCGGCTACCCTTGCCCAATCCTTGTCCTTCCCCCATCGCCGTCACCATCCCCCTCACACCCCCACCCCGTAAAGCTCTTTATGTGCGTGTAAATTTAATGAAGCAGCCACCCAAGCCAGCGAGTTGCGAGTTCCCAAAGAAAAGTGGGCGTGGCTCATGCTCATGCATTTCGAGGGCGTTGCAAATTTCTCTGACATACACGAAATACGTTGCATACGTTGCGGCGCATAAATTGCGTGTGCTGCTCCGTGCGGAGCCACAGTTACTACGGAGGGAGGGGCTGGAAGCTTGTGCTCGCCCACAAAACTGCTTGCAATGTTGTTGTTTGGCAGTTAATAAAATTGTTAGTTTTGAGGCTAAACTTGTTGGCAGCGTGTTGCTCATTAGGCGGCTGAACTTGGCAGTCACAAAACTCTGTCTGCTTGCAGAGCTGATTGGATAGGTAATACACACATATCGGGGCGTATTGGCAAGGAAAGGCAGACGCAATAAGTTCGAATATTTACCGGCTCAACTTTCTTTCCTGTAAAGTTGGATTACAAAGTTGACTAAGAGCTAACGATCAATTCCCGCAATACAAGAAAACATCGAGCAAGTCAATTTGCTGGCCTGCTCACCCACTAACCTTCTCAAAATATATATTTAACTTAGTAGATTATCTAGAAATGGCGATGTAGCTATGAAAGATGGTTGATAATAGCCCTGGGTGGATCCAAGTAAAATAACTATATTTGATAAAAAGAATAACAGTTAAGGCTATTTTCTGAGCTGAATTAGAATAAAATTTTAACTACGAGATAAATTGTAATTTAGAGAATTTCAATGGGCTTAGGATAAAAAAGATGCTAAACGTGTAAAAGAAATAAATGAATAAACATTTATAAAGTTACAATAATAGGAAAAATATTTAGTTAAATTGAAAAGTAAAACTATATAATAAAATATATAAATATAATAAAAAAAATAAATAAATATACAAAAAAAAAGAAACGGTTCCTGAAATATATTTTTAGGATATATGAATTCAAAAAAATAACTAAACTAAGATTATATTCAAAATTCAAATTCAAATTATGCAAAAAAAAAAAACGAGCTAATTATGTCATGGAAATATTATCTAAGTAATATACTTTTTAAAAAATTAAACCAATATTCAAGTAAAGAATACAATTGTAAGAAAGCAAACAAGAGCTTACGAAATTATTCTAATTTTATTGGTGGAATGAATTAGAAAATTGTTCTGTCAAATTATATATTACATAAATGATTTGGTTCAACATTAATTGATGGTGTCGATATAACATATTACTTTGCATTTTTTTCAGAGAAAATTTGAATGTGAATATATATAGTCCATAATTTTTTTATTATGGTTATCAAATCAATGCAGTTTTGCTATAATTGCAATAATATTTGAAAAAATCATAGAGAGATAGTTAGATAGAGAGTGAGAGAGAGAGACAGAGAGCTGCGCAGTAAATGACAATTATGTCCAGTCCACAGTTTTTGCACTACTATATATATAGAGATTTATATATGTATATGTAAATAGACAGAGTGTTTTTTCCATTAGGTCTCTGTGAGCTCTATCAATATGCAAAATGGCGATTGCATTTTCATAAACTGGCAAAGGGCGTACGTAGCGCCGCGTGCCTGGGGGCGTGCTGGGCAATCAAGCGCTGACATAATTACATGCTCGTATGCGAATATGTCAGCCTGATTACAGGCTCGCTCCTACATTGATGAGGGGCGGGGGCGTAACAAGCAAATTTCATTGATTTTCCTTTTTTTCTTTTCATTTCTCATGCACTGCACTGCGCCGATCGTTTTTGCCAGGCAAACACATGCAAACGACATGCAGTTGAGTTGCATTTTTTAATATTTGTTTCCCTTTTTTTATGTTTTTCTTTTTTATTTAACCTCTTTGGCATGGCTCGACAATGAAGCGTTGGCAGTGCTGCCTACACACTTCAACTTTTTTTTAATTATGTCAACAATAATTTAATGCACTCGGATGCTGTGTGTGTAAGTGTGAGTGTGAGTGTGTGTGTGCGTGTGGATCTGCTTGTGTTGCCAATAATAATATTATTTTATGCAAATGCCGCGCACTCTAATAAAAAATATTACAGCATAGCGAATAGTGATAAAAAAAATGCCATGTGCTTATCAGTGCAAATATAAGTGACGCAATGAAGAGGAAGAAAAAAACCGTAATAAAGAAATAGTATGATATATAAAAAATGCAAATCGGCTGCATGCATATTCAATATGCATTTTTTTGCTCGATCATCGGCTGATTGCACTTGAAAACATATCAATTCGAGATTTATATAAATATGTTGTAGCATGTGCACTGGTATTGGTAAATTATTAAATAATCGATGAAAAGTTCTCGATTTAAGTAGGGTCAGCTTTCATCTTCAATATGAGTGATGTCTGCCAGTAAAATTCTTTCACTGATACTCTGAGAGAGGACTGAGAGAACAACTGATTGCGTTGTTTCTTCAGCAAGGTCGTTCGCGATTGGATGGCAATGTATCGTTGAGTTAAGCTAATAATAAAGACATTGTATTGTGTATATGCGAAAACTGTGCTCACTAGAAGCATATAGAATATACTCTTTGAGTAGAATTCAGTTTGAGCTGAGTGTGTGCATGTGTAAGTAAATGACCTAAGTCTCATTATACGAATGTCAATCGGATCTCTCAATAAACGATGTTCGTGACGAGAGCGCAACGCGAATAATTCAAGGCTAGGCGCTCAACAGGAACAAAAACGAAAACTAACGAAGTC